GCATGTCGTGGCATGTCGTGTCACGCGTATCGTGTCACGCGTATCATGCACGTCGTGGCGTATCATGCTCACCCTGCCGCAGCAGTTTGTCGCGTTCCTCCAGCACGTCGTATCGTTCCTTCGCCGTGCGCGCGACCACGCGGCCGAGACTCTCCAGCGACACCGCCTTCACGGTCGGCTTCTCCACCGCTGCAACACAGGAGCGACATGCAGTGCCATCTACAGGAGACATTTTGAAAGAAAGAGGCCTCGCATTGCAGTAAGGAGGGTTCGTTTGGGTCAGCTGTCCTGGCTTCCAGATATAATATTGACACAATCTTAGCAGCATAATTTGCATAACTGCAATGTGTGTAATTATAATTGTAGGCGAACATATTTTAACCTGATATGCACAACAATGAAAGTGTCAATGACACTGTAGCTCACCACAAAAAAGGACACAAATGAGTGAGTAAGAAGAAGTCAGTTTTAATTGAGCAACCATCGACGTACATTATAGAAACGATTGCCATCTGTATATCGCAATAATAATTTATAAACCAAAATAAATCACAATTTATGACTGTAGGTGGCGCTACACCCGCTTTGTAGCGATGGCGTTCGAAATAAACAGGTTATGCTGCGTTCCGACATGTTTTGTAAATCTTTACTCTAATATAGACGTTTTATCGGCAAGGTGAAGAGGAAATACCAATTTTGCATTAAAGATATTGTCATTGAAATCTTGTAAAACGAACCAGACGAGTGTGACACCACAGACTGTTTGTGTTTATATAATATGCTATATAATTGCCAAACCCTACCTAATTTGCATTATTTTTTGTTAAATATCAAAACCCCTAGCCCTTATTCATTCACATACCAAAAATGAGCAAAATCCGTTGAACCTGAACTGACTGATGGCAATTCCCATTTTTGCCAAAAAATCGCCGTGGCTCGAAAGTACGTCGACTGCCGTGCTTCAAAATAGGACGTTCCATATGGGAGCATAGCAGTAACAACTACACCCAATTTCAAACATGTGGGTCAAACGGTTCCTGAGTTATCGTTGACCGAAACCAAATGTTGACGGACGGACGGACGGACGGACGGACGTACGACGACCCATGGCAATAGCTCAGCTTGACGATGTCAAGGTGAGCTAACCGGACGGACGTATGACGGACGACGACCCATGGCAATAGCTCAGCTTGACGATGTCAAGGTGAGCTAAAAATCAATAAATTGAAATTAATTAATAAATTGCTGTTATTATTTTATTATGATTTATTATTAGTGATGAATGACTGTTAGCTAGTTTAGCTCCCTTATCGCAACGCTGATTGGCTGGCTAGAGCAGACCTGCCAACCCCATCTGATGATCATCAGTAATAATTATTGGATTTTTCCGTAACAAATAGGCATTTGTCAGTAACACCTTTTTGTCAGTCTTATTACAGTATAATAAAGCATAATTAGCATAAATAGCCTTCAGTGTGGTACTACTGTTCCTGGATCCGTGACGTCATTCAAAATGGCTGCGCCCATAAACCAGACAGACGAGCGCATAACACAGCATAATTTACCATTTTCAGTGAGTACCGTTACGTTTTAAGAGCTATTAGTCTAAATCTGCAGACACAGTAGTCATGTTACATGATAATAGTTGATTTTACACTGTGTTTATTTCTTTTTTTTGCATTAAAAAATATAAATTTCAGAGATTTCTTGCTGTCCGTAATTTTTCGAGGTCGTCCGTAACACCGTAATTTTGACTCGCGTCCGTAACAAATTACGGGCAATACGTAACAGTTGGCAGGTCTGCTAGAGCCACCTGTCAATCATAGATCAGGTCAAAGGTCATGCACCCAGCCACCAATCACATGACATGCGTATAGTCGCCGCGGGGCCTACCTGCGCCGCCGCGCGTCTGCGACGGTGGCGCCCTCCTTCGCGGCGGCGCGACCGCTCCCTCGGGAAGCGCCGACCGCCACCCGGCCTTAATGGGGAGGTCCCTGGCGCGGCGGGAGCGGGCGGGGGGGTCCTTGGGGCGGTCGAGCAGATGCACGGAGTCCGACGCGAGGTCCGAGTACCCGCTCATAGCACGCAGCTCCGCCTGCACCTCGTCGTCCACCAGGGGGCGCTGACTCCCTGCAGCCGAGTCACGGGCGATGGTTAGATATTGGGTAAGAAGCGTCAGAAGTTAATATGTAAGAAGGTACATGATTAAGATGTAATAAGGTAAGTGGTTAATGCGTAAGAGATGTTATGTTACAACATTGATGGCACATAGAAAGCTAGCCAATTCATTTTTACAGGCTCAGCGCAAGCGGCAGCACAGTATCTAGCCACAAAAATTTCCAGAATTTTTTTTCGAGTTAAATCATCTGCCTAGCTTGATTAACAGGAAGGTCTAATCATTGTTCCGAAAGGATATTCTAAAAGACAATGCTTGCTAACCAAGCGTCGCAAGGCCAACAATTATGAGTATACTCTCATACTACATGAAAAATTTCAACTGATCATCCTTGACCGACATAGAAATCAAAATATCCAAATATCCATGTTATCCCATTCAGACAGATAGGTCAATTCCTATAAACAAACGTCCGCATCATTCCAAACCCGATTTGTCGTCCGTTTCGACGTCATCGTCTGCTGCTGCACACACTCGTCCGCCAGGACTCACAAACCTTTCCTCTCCGTCTTGTCCGCGGATCTGTCGGCAGCACCTCCCGTCGTCGACGCCCGCCAGAAGATGTCAATGGGAGCAAGACCCTTCTTGAAGACACGACCCTTGCGCTTGGCCCTCTCAGCCGACTCCTACTCGTAGGTGCGCGCAATAGGAAGAAAGGAAAGGCGCATCAGTCTAGATCGAGGCAAGCAGACGTCACTGACATTCTAAACAACGTATTTGAAACACGGAAACTAAACTAGTTGCCAGGGGGTGCCCTCAAAGAGAATAGATGAATGAGAATCAGTATAAATGTAGATATATAAATATATATATATATATATGTTTGTATATATATATATATGTATGTATATATAATAGGAATAATATTAATTAATCGTCAGTGGTTACCTCCCAGCATCATTATTTTACTGATTACAATTAATATTAATTACTCCTAATGTGTCGATAAGCTAGCTATAGTTGTTGCCCTTGCCCGGGCACGGGTTGGTCATTGGTCCCACACGTAAACCTCAGCGGTCAGGGTGAGGAGTAGGGGCTGACCAGCGCAGCTCCGGCCACCACTCACGTGATCGGCGAAGAAGATGGTCGCTTGACCGGCGCGGGGCTGCGCGGTCACCCGCTGGACGCGGCCGTAGTTGCTGAAGTGCTGCGTGAGGAAGGAGCGGTTGTTGTAGGTCGCGGGCACGCCCTTGCAGATGACCGCCGTCAGATGACCGATCTGCTCCTGGGAGGCGAAGCGTGACTGCCGCAGCGATCCTACACACACAACACAGCGGCAACATGTTACTATACTTACTTGGATCCATCTTAAATTAAAATTACTCGTAACATCGTCATGAAATCTAATGAATTCATTGCGTAGGCTGAATGCGTTAGGATGATAACGACGGCGGAACGAAGTAGTGAAGCAACGATGACGATTACACAACTCATTAAATAAGTTCATTCGGCTGGTAGATAATAGAGCTATCTTGGTTCATTTTTAGTAAAACCGCGTAGACCAAAACATACTGCTAATGTTTCTCCTCCTATCAGGCTAAATTATCAATCGCGAGCCAATAAAAATCAGGCGTTGGATTAAGGAAGCCACCTGGATTCGCAAGACCCCGAACATCAACCGTGACAAGGGGGGATACAGACTCAGTCACGTGTGGACCAAGCTGTTGACCACTACACCATCTGGTGGTCAAATCTAAAAACTTCAGTCAGCTTTGAGAAAGCCTCCTGATAGGAGGCGAAAAGTCAGCAGTACGTTTCGATCTACGCGGTCGAGTAAAAATGAACGAAGATAGTCCGATTACGCACCTCGGTCGCTGCCGGACTGGCGACGTATAGCCCCCGCCAACGCCCTGCCCGCCACCGCCTGCAGACCGCTCCTGCTGATCCTGCTCGCTCCCACGCCGGGCGTAACCGTGGCAACCTCCGCAGCATCCGACGTGCTAGCATCCTCATCCTGCGCGACGCCTTCCTCCTCCGTCGCCGCGGTCTCCCCGTACCCCGCTTCCTTCTCCGTCGCGTCTCCGAACAATGACGCGCTGCTCTTCACCTTCTCTGGCTTCTGCCCGAACATCGACCCGCTAGCCTTCTTCTGTGCAAACACAGCCTTCTTGGCTTCCGCGCCGGAAGACGCGCGAGGGGCCGCATCCGAAGGATTCCCGCTTTCCGGAAACTTGCCGAGGAAGGTCCGAGCGGATTCCCTCGACGACGACGTTCCCGCCGTCTCCGCGCCGAATAGCGAGCGCACGCTCGTGGTGCCACCTGTGGGCCCAAACACGGAACCGCTCTGCGAGGGTGCTTTCGCTAGCTGTCCAAACGGGGTCGCTGTTGGGTCAGTCTGCTGCGTGATGGCGCCACTGACTGTTGTAGGTGGCGCTGAACTTTTATGTTTGGCAGCGCCACCAAACACGCTGCCCGGCAAGTTACTCTGCTGGGAGGTGGCGCCACCGAACACTCCGAGGCTAGGACCAGTCGTCTGCAGGGCTGCCCTGCCGCCAAATATACTTGGTTTTGCCACGCCCGGCTGCGCAGCGCCACCTAGCGGAAGTGCAAAGAGACTCTTGGGGTCTGACGCTTGACCGCTCTTTGAACCGAACACACGCTCCGCCGTTGCCCCGGTTTTGCCGCCAGATGGCGCTGTGCTGACAGTCAGCATCCTGGTAGTTGGTAACGCCCCGCTGGATGATGGTATCTCTGTGCGCTGCGGATTCTTCGCAGCACCACCTAGCACGCTCACCGAATCGTGGGTCGTGCTGCCAAACATGGGCCTGCCACTAGTGATGCCACCATAAGTATGAGAGCTGGTGACTTTTTGTGGGTAAGCTCGGCTTGTGCTTGTACTATGCCGGCCGAATGTTAGACTTGTACTTGTACCAGACTGGCCAAGTGCTTTGCTTGTGCCAGGAACAGGGTGGCCAAATGCAGTCCCTGTCTTTTGTTGGCCAAATGTTGAAATTGTGCTTGAACTAGGCTGGCCAAATGTTATACTTTTGCTTGCACTAGGCTGGCCAAATGATAGGCTTGAACTCGTACTAGGCTGGCCAAATACTAGGCTTGAACTTGTACTAGGCTGGCCAAACGCTAAGCTTTTGGGCGTACGAGACTCCCCGAATGTAGGATTTTTGCCACTGCTTGGCTGTCCAAGTGTAGGCGCTGCATTTATACTAGGCTGCCCAAATGAGAAACCTGTGCTTGCGCTGGGCTGACCGAATGCTAGACTCGCACCTGAACTAGGCTGACCAAACGTAGGAACACTGCTAGATTGCGAGAATCCAGCAGCCATCTGTGACTGGCTAAAACCGCCGGGTGCGTTCGACGCGAACATCGACTCCCCTGCTACGCTCTGTTGCTGGTTGGTAAACGCGGCCGACTGATGACCCGGCTGGCCGAAACTGGACGCGGCCATTCCCGCCTGACCAAATGTCAAGGTCGCCTGTCTGGTCACTGGCAGATCGCTTGTCATCCTTACTGCAAACATACTCGCAGCGTTGCCGACCTGGCCGCCGCCGCCAAACCCGAGCGCTAAACCGGAGGCATTTTGCGAGAAGGGACCACCGGAACGTTCGGGCTGCACAGCGGCGCCCCCTGCCGGCACGCCGCTCGCCATGGGCTGGCCGAACGTGGCGCCGCCTGTTGGGAAACCCCCGAAATTGCGCGCCGACGTCTGCGCGCCCGGAAATCCCGAGGTCGTCTGCTGACCGAACGTCGGTACGGTGGCGCCACTTGTCGCTAGCGGGCTTGCACCGAGTGTCGTCTGCCCAAACGCACTCGGTGGGCTGGATACGGTCATCGCTTGACCACCAGATGGCGTGCCGAACACGCTGTTAGTTGTCACCGGCGAGGCAAACATCGATGCAGCGGTGGTGGTCCCACCAGAGGTCGCCGCTGTCCCGAATAGGCTTGTGTAGGGCGGGGGTTGACCGCCTGAGCTCGAAAACCCTGCCGCCGACTGCTGACCAAACGCTGACTGTCCGAAGGTGGTTCCTGCGGTCTGAGCTCCAAACGCTGGCGGAGGTGCATTAAACTGCCCGTAGGTGGCAGCACTGCTCTGAGCACCAAATGCTGGTGGTTGGGTCGAGATTTGTCCAAATCCTGCAAAGAAATCACCAAAGAGTAGTTGCATGATTATGTCTTCTACAAATGACAGGATACTATCTACTAGACTTCACTTATTCTATCCTTGAATAAGATGCTGACGTGAGGCAGATACAACGTCAGTTAGTTTTGAAAAGGCCTCATGTTAGGACGCGAAACGTTAGCAGTACGTTTGAACTTCACGGTCGAGTAGAAATCAACCAAGTTATCTCTCTTTCACCTAGTCTGATGCTAAATCCTAACGATTTAATCTCCCAAGCAACTTGATTATAAGTAGCACTGAAAATATTAACCAGCTACATCGTCCCTAACTTGTCACTAACTTGCTCTGGTTGATGCATGTCCATTTACATTGCGTAATTCAACGGCGGTGATAAAAACTAGAGGTAATCAGGGTGTTAGTTCAGATCAAGGATATTTCCGGACCCCGCAAATGTGTTTTCGCATATGTGCTAAACTAATCCGGTGCGCTAAACTAGGCTAGGGTGGCTAGTTCTACCACACAAACCTAATCCTAAGGCTAAGGTGGAGGGGAAGGTTGTACAGCGACAGTATTATTAAGATCGTTAATCGATAAACATCTGCTAACCTTTACTTGTACAGACTTTGCTAAAGTTTTTTTTTCTGGTATCTATTTTTTCTTCATGTTATCTTAATCACTTTACTAGTACAGAATATGCTGAAGTTTTTTTGTATATATTTTTTTCTTCATGTTGTAGAGCATTGTAATTGTACTGTATCAGTCAGAAATGTTATCATTTTAACTACCCAACACTATTGCTTTTATCAGATTTTTTCTCCATGAAAAAAACTGTCGTTAGTACACATATATTATGTATCTGAATTACATGCAATAAAGATTTAATGATAATAATGAATAACCTGAGGTCGAGGGTTGTGCCCCAAACGATGCCGTCTGCTGGAACGCATTGCCGGACGCCACAGGCTGCTGCCCGAATCCTGAGGCAAACGGGCTCACGTTGGGAGCAGCGGCAGTTACGCTAAATGTAGAGGTCGACGGAGCTGCACTGCCAAACGACCCGGATACCGCCCCCTGCTGCTGCTGCTGCTGCTGCCCAAACATGATGTTAGAACACTGCCTTCGACGAGATCATGGCCTGCTACACTGTAAAATATTAAATAGATAGATCAAGGACAGTTTGGGACCCCGCAATGTGTTTTCGCATATGTGCTAAACTAAGTATAAGTAGGGCCTATAAGTATAACACTAGTCACTAACAGTAAACTAGGCTTGCGTCAAATAAATAAACCTTGTTATTATTGCTAGACTATGTGACCTGATGATGATGATGATGATGATGATGGATGATGATGATAATGATGATGAATTGATGTGTATGGTCAACAATAATATCAGCACGGTGTGTGTGACCGAGTGATGAGTGCTGCCAATGCCAATGTCAATGATGGCACTGACGCCGATGGCGATAGCACTGTTGACGGTACGCCTTGAGATACAGCTGCCATTACTGAGCATTAAACTATGCGAGCAGAGAGACTGAACATTACGTGAGCAAGATCATGAAAAACTACATGATACTACCATATAATGTAGATTAATCGCGTGCATTTAATTGTTATTTACCGGCAAAGTTCAAAACGACGTCAATATCATACTCATGCGGTCCGCCAATCATAGCGGTAACACACATGTACGGCCGTGATTGCTTACTTACAACCGGCCACCGGTCATACCTAGCATGAATACTATACAACCGTGAAATCGACTGGTAGCAATTACATTCTGAGAGAAGAAAGATGAAGTATGATACAATAAGGAATAACATGCAATATCGGAAAGAACAAGGGGTCACATCTGGTGACTGATAAAATGGTACTTCGAAAGACAGCGGATTTAACCTCCCGTGTGATGTATTCACTCCGGTTACCAGGCGCAGAATATCTGCCAATTTATCGACATCAAACGACAAACTCAGCGTGTGAATGGGATGATTCGCATATATTCCCATATAATATTTCTCATTAAAATTGCATTATGGCTATCACAGTAAGATTTTTATACTAGTCTTTCCCCTGTGAAAAACATTAATAAACTGAATGAATTTTACATTCATGTCGCACCGCATGTGACATGTGTGCGAAAAATTTAAAAATAAGTACACTAATGACGGGTGTGACTTGTGTAGTGGGGGTCTGGGGGAGAAAATGAAGACTTGTTACATCTATATAATGGCTTTAAATATGGGGATATAACTAAAAGGGAGTCCATTGAAGACTGGAAATGTGACGATCCCAAGTTGCTTCCGACCACGTGAGGAAATTACTAAAATATAGGGATCAAAGAATAAGATTAGCAGAATTAAATGCTAAGCTGGAGGTACAAATCAATGAAAATTATGAGATGAAAGTTCACATTGCCAGAATATCCTCGCACCTTCACCAGAAGTAATGCCTTGTGAAATACAAGAGTGGGACAATTTACGATACGATACGATACGATACGATACGATACGATACGATGTCCGCGTATTCCGTGTCAGTGCGAGTCAGTGCTTCCAATATGGCGGGAGTCGTTTCGGGGATTTTTGAGAAAATAAAATCGTGGATTGCATGGTCTTGGACGTACCTCTGGGCGCTCTGGTTTCTTCTCGTCGTATTTCTTATTTATATGCTTCGTGGTCCACTAAAGATCAGTGAGAACATTACATCAGGTGAGTACGTTTTTAAAAGATTAATTGTGGTGGGAAATTCCAAAAAGTCAAAACAAGCTAAACTCTTTCAAGTAATGTATACTATATAATAGTATATATATTGGATTAACATTACTATTAGTGTCCATCAAAATTTGTCACCACAAGTAGTAGTTAACGGGGTGTAGGATGCTTGCTTGCATCAGAATCCCCGTGTGAGAATATGCATATATACGTGTCATGCAATGCGATATCTCCAGATCAGACGCACTAATGCTCAAGGGGTCGTTGTCGTAATAGGTACTAGTAGTACTAGTACTAGTAGTAGTAGTAGTACAGTCCAGATATGTATTGTACCCGAGGTACGTATATCTATGTATACACAAAGTGTACCAGACTTGTACTACAGAAGTGTACCCTAACCCTAACCCTAAACATACCTCATATAAAAATATAAACATAATACTAAACAACCTAAAACTACCTCGGGTACATATCTGTAGTACCTGTTACGACAACGACCCTTCGTGCCGCACTAATGCCATAATGCCCATTAATTATCATGGCAATGCATTGCAACATATCCAGAGAGACATGATACAAGATTGCGTGGCACAGCTTTGCTGTTGATCCTAAGCGCTGCGCGCGGATTAGACGCGCAGTTCCGCAAATCCAAAAATTTATTTATCACCATAATTTGCAAAAATACAATGATGCAGAAAACATTATTTTGAAAGGTGAAGGGGTAGCGAAAGACCATAGGGTTATCAAGTCAGCTATCCCTCTATATGTACAGTAGACATAATCATACACCCGTTGACAGTTTAACACTGCGCATGCGCTTAGCCTAAGGTCAAAGGTCGGGAGGAATTTCCATCCCAGAAAGCGCGAGTAAAATGCGCGAACAATGGCGTTAACGTGTAGTATAAAGGGCTGCTCAAACGGATCGTATTAGCTTAAGAAAGACTTTTAGAGCATGCACTGACCATAATTTAAATGTATCAAGTGTCATGTCACTCAGGTCATCCATTATCGGTGCTCTATTCTCTGCTATGTGCACTGTTCTTCGACACAAAGGTGAGCGACCTGCGTATGCAAGGCAGATAACGCATCGAGATAAACAATATGGCAGAGTTTACTCGCACATCCGGGCTCTCGCGGAGATGCGTAACTAATGGCGCAGAACATGGGCGCAGAACTGTCAATGGGTGTATATGGAGCGTCAGATATTCGCTGTGTTGCAAATGAGGAAAAGTTGAAAATAAATTTGCATCGGGTGACGTTTGAACATGAGCAAGAAGCAGGAGGAGGAACAGGGCATTGGATAAATAAAACCAGTATTGCTACTCTAGGAGCGTGGGCATGATGGCATTGATGCCTCGAGAGCCAGGCGATGGTTAAGGAAAGATAATCGCACCACATGTGATAGGGGTAACAGTATTTTTTAACCTTCTCATTTCACAAATGCTCTAGGACGATTATCTGGGGCAGGCTTCAAGAAGGTGGTGGGGACAGCCCAAAACAGTTCGAGAAAAACGGTTAATGCTTATCATCGTTGGCCTTAATAACAATCGAAGTTATGGAGAAATAATTGTAGAGCATGTTAAGCAGTTTTTGGAGTCTGTTGGAAATCTCCAGATTAAAAACTTCTGGTAAAATGGATAATGTAGGAAATGATATTATCTCTCCTCTACATAAGAAAATAATCATTTAAAAATTCCCAATCTAAATATACATATATATACAGAAAGGTTTAAACATTGTTTATGTTTGAGGTTTGGTTACTTGTGAGGGTGCTGCACAATTAGTTGATCATCAGAAATAAGAGACAATATTTATAAATATAATATATTTATAATTATAAATATTTTAGTCATTATGTACTGTTGCCACCAAAGTGGAGTCAGGTCTACCCTAGAAGCTCCCAATGTATAGTTGTTAGGTTCGGTTTGGGCTATTGATGATGATGATGATGATGATGATGATGATGATGATGATGATGATGATGATGTATGCATGGGGGTCATAAAGTAAACACGAAACTACATGAGTGTGTAATAGCTTATAGCAAACAATAACTTCTAATTTTCTCAAGTGTCACCAACATGAGCAGTTCTTGCTGCAGTGTATTGGCTGTTGTGATGGTGTTGAGTGGCTTATTGTTTTATCATTAATAAAGGTATGGATATTCGTTGGCGCATCACAATCACATTTTGTTACAATGTTTGATGGAGGGAAAGGGATCGAGAAGGAAGGACAGGTAGAGGAAGGAAGAAGATAGAGAAAGTGAAGAAACTCGAAGTAGAAGTGTAGGAATTGAGACAGTAGAGGCGAGAAGTGGTAGATGAAGAGAATAGGGAGAAACTAGAGGAGGGGAGAAGATGTATGAGGGACATAAAAGTGGTGAAGGACTTCCTACTTCCTCTATATTTCCCTTCCTCGACTTCCTTTATCTTCTCCTCCAATCCGTATCCGTAGCTGCTTTCCTTCTCCATTCCGTCATCCTTAACCTCCTTTAGCTCCTGTTCATATACATGCTCCCTCCCCCTCTTCACTACCCCTTCCTTTCTCTTAAGGTTCAATCACACATTCAAGATTTTTACGGCCGTCCTTGATAGGACCATTCCTGATTAAAATTTGTCAAAAGTCTGATCAAGATCCTGTGATTCGGGGCGGAAAATTCAAACTTTATTAAAAATGTGTAAAAACATTTATTTAATCACGACAACAATCAGATATTGTTCAGGAAGCGATTCCAGCCGAATTCCTCCCGATTCTCCAGTTCTCAATCCGATTCTAATCCGATTTGTATCTTTCGCATGGTAAAAAACGACCAAATCTGTCCCGACAGCGTCCCGATTCTCCCGAATGCGATCCGACAGAGATCAGACAGTGACCCGACAGTGAACCGACGCTGACGGAAGACATCCGTTAGATCTGGACGCAATCCGGACTCAATCGGCAAGAAACGGCAATGAAAAATTTCTCCAGATCATGCCCGTTCATCACGACAGCGTCCCGATCCACAGGACACCGTCCAGACACCGTCCAGACAACACAGGACATTGTTACGATTTTGATCCGATACAGCAGAATCTGTCACGACATAGTCACGATTGTAATCCGACTAGACAAAATCGGCTGAGTTTCCCGAATGTTACGGGACGCACTTAACTGTCGGGAATGCTTGGCCAACCTCTCCGGACCATTCCCGATCCGTAGGACTCTGTTACGAACGTATACGACTGCGTTCAGACAATGATAGGACATTCCAGATCATTGAGGATAGTAATCCGACTTTTTCACTTTTTGTGTCGTAGCGCTGTCTGATCTCAAACGGGAGCCATAATCGGCACTGTGTGAACACCGCATTACCTCCTCTTCCTTTCCCTCATATACTTTCTCCACTAAACCCTCCCACTCCTCTATCATTTACCGCTCCTGACTGGCTACCTTGTGCAGTTTTATGACAACCTTGATCAGCAACAGTCAGTCATGCACAACAACTGCTTGGCCCGAACTTTGCTAAAAAAATATCCACATGATAAATATGGTTCATAATTTCCTTTGACTATCAGCACATACATGTGCAAAAACTGCTTAGGCAAATAGCAAAATGAAACTTGGTGCTGAGGTATGCCGAATATCCACCAGGTGCTAATAATAGTTACATAATACAATGACTTGCATTTATTTAGATTTATTGCTGGTGTAGTACTTATCTAAGTACTGATAATTCAAAAGTACAAATGAGTAAGGGATAATCAGTTTATCTGCTGTCAAGTTGTGCTTGGTGTTGGTGCTAAGTACACATGTTAGTGTATTTTGCAACAGACAGTTTAATTCAGCGATTAACACTCTTACATTGTCGATTTCTTGCAAGTTATTAATTGTTGTCACAAATTAAACGGCAACAAAGTTTAAAAAAATTCCTTGCCGACAACATTGCTTGTACAAATCTCATGTTCTCCAACCAATCTTATTCATGTGCATGTAAACAGTGAACACCCCATATTTATGCACTATAAAATGTAATGTGGTGCAAAATTGAACAAAGAAAACAAACACTGCTAATTAACTGCAATTTTTTTAATGGGAAAT